CACACACGCACATACACACACACACACCGTCTCAGTCTTTCTTCTACTGATCAAGAGGTCACTGAGGATTATCCTTCGGTGTCGGTACAGATTTAGACACACCAAAGACAAATGCATATTGATCTTTTTTTTTTTTGCTAAGACAAATCTTCGTTTTTCAACTCTCTCACCTTTCTCCACCAGCAGTCACTGCTGGGTTTCTGCAGCGCTCGGATCCAGAGGTCATGACACCAACTGGCAAAGGATCCAACAAGGCAGCTGAAAGACACCTCTGTCCCTCAACATGGAAGACCCAGTCGGAAAGGTCAGTGTCTTCTCCCGTTGACTCCCGTTTTTCTGCTACTGTATTTGGAAATATATTTTTCTCATTGTTTGTCATCTTCTACTGCGTGTTTCTTTATAACGAGACATGAAAGCTCGGGGACATTTTCGATTCGTACGAATGTGGCAGTTGGATGTTGAGACGATGTTTTTGAATCGCTCTCAGTGAGGTCGTGAACATAAAAAGTTTTGTGTAAAGTGAACCCTGCTTCAGCACAAAGTTGAATTTGTAATGCACAGAAACAGTTTTAAAAATAGTCGCCAACGCCCCAGCCCCTCGCCCCGCCCATCGGAAAAAAAAAAATTTAACAATAAATAATAATCACTAATTATGTCTATCAGTGCATTTAAAATGTGCAATAACATGTCATATATAAATATAATAGTGTAATATTTAGCCCCAGAAAAAGCGCCCTGTCAGTTGCTGACCTGTAGCCTCCACAAGGGGTCACTGGTGTAACAGTCAAAAACCGTTTTCTGCAAAAATGTGAAATTATATGTAATTAATAATTAACTAAAAAGTAATTAATAAGTAGAATAGGGTGGGTTTCACCCCACCTCGACCCCCCCTCCTTTCTGCTACGACCCTCGTTACGGGTATGTAGCCCCCCTGAAGGCTAAATACCAGAACTTCCTAGTAGTCAGTCAGAACTGAAGAAGCCTCTTGGATGAGAGGTGAAACTTCTTCAAAAAAAACCTACTTCGTCCAGTTGCCCTCGATGTAACTAATTTTGTTTTTTAACTTTAATTTTAAACTGTTTTTTTAACCAGTTTCCTGCTGTTGGTGATAAACTGTATTCTGATAGTCACTATAATAGAACCTTTTTCATCAGCGGCCTCTGGCTAAATGAATATCTGCTGCTTTTATTTTGAAGGGACAACAAGTATAAGTATGTATAAGAGTCAGTATTGACACACGGGATGGAGATCGACATGTCTTGATGCCAGAATCTGGCGGGTTTTTTTTTTTTTTTCTTCTTTTTTTATGCAATATGCCATGTCGTGTCAAAGAGCATGGGAGCAAGAGAGTCAGTGTGACCCGGCAGTCAGAACAGGACACACAAGGAGTCCATCAACAGGCACGGGGTTTTTCCCAAGCTACGGTCGAGCCCTCGGTACAACATCCTACGATGACGGGCTATTCGTGGATTACGGGGCTGCAGAAGTGTTTAGAAAAGACTTTTATTGTCTCGTCTGATCTTTCAGGATCAGACGCTGTCCATTTATGGTGTCGCCGCAGATCACTGACTTACGTTTTCCGTCATAGTTTCCTCACAGCTGAACTGAATTCAAATTTGCTTTTGAGGTCGGTTGATGAAATAGTACCAGGAAATGCAGTGTTTTTCAAAGTAGGGGGCGCATCCCGTAAGCGGGTCATGAATCAAAACTAGAGTGTCGATCGTGTCGACTGGAAACAAAATAGAAAGTCACAAGGCTCTTCATGACGATGATGTAAAAATATCTGGCTTGGCAGTGTCCAATCAGGACAGACTTTGTCATGCTAATAGGAAAAAATGCACAGAGGCGAGAGCCAATCAGAGCTGTTCCTGTTGCCCGAGGTCCCAAATTAAGAGTTTTGTACATTTAAATTTTTTTTTTTTAATTCGTCAACTAAATCTAACTACATGTACTCAACTTATTGATTAAATTAAAAATAAATAAATAAAACGTTTCGTTTTAAAACGATTCGTGGTTTGTTTATTTTGTTGACTAAAAATAGCAGGGTTTTTTTTTTAGGGATTGCATTGTTTAAAATACCAGTTTAGAGTCATTGAAGTCATTGATGTCATTGATGTCCAATGCCAGAAAAAGGAGTAGGAAAACCAACTTATCTTAAAAAAAATAAAAAAAAAATAAATAAAACACACTGCAAGTTCATGAAACCACTTATTTAAATCACAACGATGTTTGTCTTTCGTGTAGTTTAAAATCATTTGTTCTGCGTTTTGTTGGAGAGCCTTTGTTTATGTATGTTGGTTTACTCACAGACCCCCTGTGTATGTTGCCCGGGAAAATTCTCAGTCGACTTTTTTGAACGAAACGCGGCCTGAAAAACCTCACGGCCGACACTTCATCAGTGAGTCAGGTCAAGTAACTCGCTTTACACAACGGATGCACGAATGTACACAAACACTCTCACTGACAAAGACACACACACACAAGGCGCTCTCTCTTTTTCTCACTCACTCACTCACTCACTCACTCACTCACGCACACTCGTACGCGCCGACCGTGGCCTTCCTGACCAATCAGAGTGAACTGCCGGTCCCCCAGAAGTGGGTGGGAGAGTTGTTGAAACAGATGTCTGTCTCAGGACGAACAAACTTTGCATTGGTGGTTTGGAGAAACCAAACTGCTGCTCACTGCCTCTCTGGAACCAGCTTGTGTTTTTTTGTTTTTGTTTTTGTTTTTTGTTTTTTCACCCTGTTATTGCTGTTGAACCTGGGGTCTGTCAGGGCTAAACTGAAGTCTGGGATGGCTGAGCTGGTGCGAATCCGTAAGAAACGGCTGCAGATACCCATCTCTAGGTAAGACTGTCGTCAATATAAATCCACATGATATCATTAACCTGTCATTACGTGAAGTGCGCTTGTATGGAACAGTTTGAGGGAGGTTTTTTTTTTTATTATTATTTTGCATCAATGTAAAACATAAAAAAAAACCCAAAGTGAATCATTGCAGGGGATTTTTCATAATGCGTACATAGATCATTTCGCTAGCATGAAGAAATTTTGTCAAGATTTTATCTGACTCCCTGGGGCTGAACTCTCACTGCAAGTGCTGGCAAATCAGACTCGTGCTTTTGCAGTGGGTGGAAAATGAGCTGCAGAGGTGATGGGTCATGTGGTTTTGTTGTGGTTAAGGCTTTGATGCTGTTAAGGTCGACATTGAAGGTAAAAAAAAAAAAAAAAAAAAGAAAAAACAAATTTAGGGCAAGTGTCAAATCGGAACGGGTTTG